TTTCTATAGAAATGCTTTATATCCAAGAAGCTTTATATTAAAAAGAACTTCCAATAAAAAAGCTTTAGACTAAAACTTAAAAAATTAACTTTTAAGTGAAAAGCTTTCTCTGGAAAAGCCTTTTATAAAGCTTTTTATTAAAAAAGCATTTTGTCGAACACATTTTATAAATAAAGCTTTTTATCGAAAAGTTTAGCTTTAAAAGCTTTTTTCTAGTTTATTTAAAAAGGCTTCTATAGAGCTATTTATGAAAATAACAAATCAAACTAAATTTTCTAAATAAAGCTTTCTAATGAAATGCTTTGTAACCAAAGAGCTTTGTATTTAAAAAAATCGAATAAGAAAAGCTCAATATATAAACTTAAAAAACAGCTTTTTATTAAAAAGCTTTCTCTAGAAAAACCATTTTATAAAGCTTTTTAATAAAAAAGCCTTTTTATAAAGCTTTTTAATAAAAAAGCCTTTTTATAAAGCTTTTTAATAAAAAAAAACATCTTATCGAACAAACAATAAAGCTTTTTATCAATAAGTTTTGTGTCAAAAAAAAAAAAAAACTTTTCTGTATTTTATAAAAAAGCTTTCTTTAGAGCTTTTTCTGAAATACCATTCTTTCAGAACCCTTTAACAAAATACATTTTCAAAATAAAGCTTTCTATTGAAAAACTTTGTATGCAAAAAGATTTCTATGCACAAAATTCTAACAAAAAAGCTTTAAACAAAAAAAACTTTTTATAACAAAAAAGGTTTCTTAAAGTTTTATCAAACAAAACTTTGAATAGAAAAACTGTTTGTTGAAGCTTTATATTAAAAATTTCTGAATTAAAGCTTTATATAAAAAAACTTTTAAAATAAAAGCTTTATATAAAAAAGCTTCTTATATAAAAAGCTTATTAAATATAAATAGTATATAAAAAAGCTTGCTAAATAAAAGCTTTACATAAAAAGCTTTCAAAATCAAAGCTTTATATAAAAAATCTTTCTAAATAAAAGTTTTATAAAAAAGCTTTATATAAAAATAATTTCTATATAAAAGCTTTATAAAATAAGCTTTATAATAAAGCTTTCCAAATAAAGGCTTTATACAAAAAAGTTTTATAAATAAAAGCTTTATGCAAAAAAGCTTTATATAAAAACGCTTTCTATAGCTTTCTTTGGAAAAGCTTTCTATAGCTTTCTTTAGAAAAGCTCTACATAAGGAAGCTTTCCACACAAAAGTTTTATATAAAAATGCCTTTATTAGAAAAACTTTATATGGAAAGGCTTATTTTGAAAATCATTTCTAAAAAAGCTTTGTAACAAAAAGAGTTACATAAAAAGCTTTTCTATAGAAGTTCTTTTTTAGAAACTAATTAATAAAAATTATTTTTATTAAAATAGCATTTTATCGATGGATTTTTTAAAAATAACATTTTTAAACTAAAGCTTTCTGTCGATAAGCTTTGTTTCCTTAAAACTTTCTATAAAAGTAAGGTTTTCACCTTTTTATCAAAAAGCTTTCTAGTGAAAAACATAACATTAAATAACTTCTTATTCAAAATTTGCCCAGAGAGAAAGCTCTATTTAAAAAACTTATGTCGAAAAGCTTTTTTATTAAAAGAGCTTTCTACCGAAATCCTTTTTAATAGTAAAATATTTCTACTGAAAAAGAATTTATTACAAAAGCTTTCTATTATTTTAAGATTGTAACGAACAACTTTTGTATCGATAAGATTTCTAATAAAGAATATTAAAAGTATTTTGTATAAAAAAGCCTTCTACTATTATTTATTAAAAAAGTTTTTTAAAGAACAGATTATTTTCGACATTTTCTGTTCAAAAAATTATATTTATTAGAAAAAGTTTTCTATAGAAGAAGCTTTCTACTGAAACAGTTTTGATTATAAATGTTTTCTATCGAGCTTTTAAGCAATATAGGACTTTCAAAAGGCTTCTTATCAAACACATTAAAAACATGGTAACTGTTGAAATGCTTTGTGTATAAAAAGCTTTCTATTGAAAAAAAGAGCTTTTATCAAAAACCCGTTTAAATAAGAAGATTTATTTAAAAAACTATATGAAAAACAATTTGTTTCAAAACTGATTTTTTTGAAAAGCATATTAAAAAAGCTTTTTATCAAAAAGCTTTATATCGTAAAATTGTATAAAATCTTAAATTTTACTGTTTCAATGAATTTTCTTTTTTTATTTTTTTTTATTAAATTTTAAGCCTTTTATCAAACAAACAAAATCTCTTTAAGAACATTAAGTTTTCCTTTAGATTGAACTCAAACATTCCATGAATTTAAATTATTTAAATTAAAAAAACAAAAATTCATAATCTTATTGCATGCTTAAACAAATTATAACAATTTTCTACTGTAGTGTAGTTGTTGTTGTGGTTGTTATTATTACAATTATTGCCTTTAATGATTTTTCTAAGAAAAAAAAAACAATTGCAGCTTTTTTAATATTAAAGAAAATTAAGCATACTTTTAGGCAGGCAAGCTTAAATCTATTAGATTTTAAATTAGCGGCACGACAGAGAAGGTTTCAAAATAAATTTTAAGAGTGAAAGAGATTTTTAAAGGAAATTTCTTTCAAGACCTAGTTTTTTTTACAGTGTAGGGTATAATCTTTAATATGCTTGTTGGTTTAATTTTGTTGTATTTGAATAACTAGGTCTGTGTGTATTTTTGCATATAAAACAAACTTAATATATGTATAAACCAAAAGAATTTTGATAAGGATTTCTTTTTTTGTTGTTGTGTTTGTTTTTGCAATGAAAATTATTAAATGAAATGCAAGATATAAAGAAAATTTATACATTTAAATATTTTCTTCTTATTGTGTTGTGTTGTATTGCTTTGCTTTAACGAGTAAAAGCATTTAATCGATAAAAGGAATAGCATACTTTTAGGAGCAATAAGAATAATAGATTTATTTAGCAGAATATACATTCAGTTGTAATTCAGGTCTGAGTTGGGGAACAACTCTCGCGTCATCGTTTTTATTTCTTAAGGACGGTCAGGCTTGTGCTTGTTGCTGGGCTTTCGACAGAATTACTTCTCACCCCGCACTAATTTAATGCACTACTTCGTATAACTATTCTAAGTTATGCGTTGTCTTCATTAAACGCGTGCTTTCGTTTTACCTCAGAGTGAGGTTATGTAATTAACTGGTGGAGACCATAAAATACTCACGATATAACTTGGTGGAGACCATTTAAACTCAAATATTTACTGGTGGAGACCATTAAAACTCTAAAACTTTTTTCTGGTGGAGACCATTAATACTTTTGATGAAATTAAGTCCGGATGCTCCAACTTCCTATATGAAGGTATAGGTCGGTTGGTGGGGTTTTCTCTGGACATACGTGTGATAACCTGGCAATATGAGTGCTTAATGTACCGCCATCCTAATTAAAACCCGAAAAAAAACCCTACAGACTGCCGGATAAGTTTAGTGTCTTCCAAGATCTTAACTATTTGAATCTACAGACTGCAAAGTATTGGGTAATCATGTAGCGGTCGAACTGCCAATATAAGTTTTGAAACTTGACCCACAAGAAAGGAATAGTTGGGGAAAATCATCCGTTTATTGTTGTTTTTGATGTAACAGTTCGATTATGGCCGATAGTTCTTTCCTGGGGAAGAAACTTTCGAATGATACAGCTGTCGCTGAATTAAGAATCTTTGGCCGTGTTAGACTCCGAGTCGTTCCGGAGAAAAGATCTTAAGGGTTATTCTTTGAAAGCTTCCACGAAATTATCAGTCGGAATCTTACTGCTAAGAGCTTTCATTTGTAAGTGGGAAAGTAATCTATCGGACTATTGAAGGATAAGAGGAGATGCGAGGAAACTTTGCCACTGTCCTTAAGTACAGATTTATATTGTGAAACAGCTGTGGGTATTGCAGCATTCAAGAGCCACAGTCTACTAGGCTTGATCAGGAGAATCAATAATTTATTTGGTTGGTTTTTATAGTTTCAGATTCCCTTATTCTTTCCCTTGCTTGTCACTGTTCTAGGGTGCGGAATATCAGGTTGAAATAACGAACAGGGAGATATGTATTGTGCGAAACAACAGTCGCATTCTAATAGTTTATATCAACAGAATCAGGAATCGACTGGACTTTATAGACATATTCAAACCTATCTATCTATCTATTTATCTATCTATCTATCTATCTATCTATCTATCTATCTATCTATCTATCTATCTATCTATCTATCTATCTATCTATCTATCTATCTATCTATCTATCTATCTATCTATCTATCTATCTATCTATTATCTATCTATCTATCTATCTATCTATCTATCTATCTATCTATCTATCTATCTATCTATCTATCTATCTATCTATCTATCTATCTATCTATCTATCTATCTATCTATCTATCTATCTATCTATCTATCTATCTATCTATCTATCTATCTATCTATCTATCTATCTATCTATCTATCTATCTATCTATCTATCTATCTATCTATCTATCTTATCTATCTATCTATCTATCTATCTATCTATCTATCTATCTATCTATCTATCTATCTATCTATCTATCTATCTATCTATCTATCTATCTATCTATCTATCTATCTATCTATCTATCTATCTATCTATCTATCTATCTATATAAAATAGACATTCAAGTGTTCCTATTCAGTTTTAAAGCTAACCGATTCTATCTATCATTCACACTAGATTACATAATATAATATTCAAAAAATTTCTTCTTTTATAAGAAAATTCCCATAAATTCATTATTTATATACAATTATTAATAATTTTCATTATTTGTAAAACATTTAAAAAAAAATTCGCTAAAATTATAAATTTGAATAAACTTTAAATTTAAAGAAATCTCAAGAATTTCCCTTTATATTTCAAACTAATACTCTGTTTAACAAAGTTTCCACTTTTCAACAAAAGTAAACAAAACATTTTTTAAATAATTTAACAAAAAAAAACATTAAAAATATGTATTAACCAAAAAAAGTATAAAAACAAAATAAATACCTTTGTCTATAACCATTATAACCATAGGGTGCATATGTAACGTTTCTTATATTTTGTCCATACATAGTTAATTAATTAGTTTTTCTTAAAATTATAAAAAAAAAAAAGAAAAAAGAAATTTTGATTAAATTTGGAATAAAATTTCAAAAAAAAAACGCTAAAATAAATAAAAACATAAAAAAATAATCTGGCAACTAGCAAACGATCAGAGATTTGACAAAAAACAATAGAAAAAATTAAACCGGTAGAAAGAAAAGAACAAAAGACACAAAAGGGGGAAGTAGTAGAACAAACAAAATAGAAGATAAAAATATGGCACAGGAATATAGAAAAATAAGAACAAAATAATATTTTTAAATAAAATGTAAATTAAATTAACTAAAAACTAAACAAAATTGCAAAAAAAAAAATTAAGCAAACACACATTCACACACTCTCTTAAGCAAACTCTCTCATACAATTTCAATGTTTTTTTTTTGCTCTTTTTTTTTTGTTAATTTTTTTTGCATTTTAGGCCTCTTTTTTTCAAAGGCTTTTTATTATCACACTACCTTTGTTGTATTCCACTTTATAGCAACAAAAAAACGTGTTAATTACTTTATTTTCACAAAAAATCCATAAATTTTCTTAAACTTATTAAATTATTGCTGGGAAAATTGATTTATTTTTAAGCATTTTCCTTTTTTTTGCCACCCTCGCTGTTACAATTCATACATATACTAACACCACCACTAGCACAGTTAGAAAAAAAAATTATACTTTTTTTGCTTCCCCCTTTTAAACACAAAATTCTTTTTCGTTTTTGCAATTTCTTAACAGAATTATATACGCAAAATTATCAATTTTAAAATACACACCAAAAAAAATTAGCAGCTTAATTACTGTTTAAATTACACTGCCCCTCTTTGGAAGTGCAGTTTGTAACAAAATAGAAAAATTTCTGTTAAAACTTTATCTTTTTTTTGTTTATTATTTTTTCACTAAACAAATTTGTTGTTTAATTAAGCCGTTTTCTAAGAGGGGATAAACTCGCGCGTGCCAAGCGAAAAATGGTACTGAAAAATGGCATGAAAATAAACTGGCATTAGCAGCAGGGTTAACTAGAAAAGGTAGTAAAAACCCATAAAAGAGAAAAGCAAAAAAGTAGTAAAATCTAAAAAAAAAAACTGAACAAAACTTTCTAAAATAATCAAAACAAATATATTTATAAATTAACAATTATATAAAAATTAACAATTTATTTATTAAATAGGGTTTTTTAATTATTAAAAACCCAAATAAACAAATACTATTTTAAGCAATTGTGTTTTCTTTTATTACTCTTATTGGTATAGAAAGGGACAACTATAGATAAACATTCACAAATAATAACAAAACAAAGTTGCCACTGCAAAACCAATTAAAAGAAAAGTTACCATATGTTATTGTTTGCATTCAACAGAAATATAGTTGCCATTTCCACTAGAATAAAAATAAAATAGGGGAATAAAAACGTTAAAACTGAAAAATTTAAAAAATTTGTTATTCAAAAAGAAATATTTATTTATATAAATTTCTGTATTTAGAGAAAATAATAAATATTCATATGTAAAAGAACTTCAAACTAATTCCAGTTCAATTCTATTTTAGTTCTAAGTCAATTCTAATTCTAATGAATTTAATTCAACTTTTATTTTAGTTCTGTACCAGTTCTGTTCTAGCTCGGTTCTAGTTCAGTTATCAGTTCTAGTTCTGTTCTAGTTTAGTTCTAGCTCTGTTCTAGTTCTGTTCTAGTTCTGTTCTAGTTCTGTTCTAGTTCTGTTCTAGTTCTGTTCTAGTTCTGTTCTAGTTCTGTTCTAGTTCTATTCTAGTTCGATTCTAGTTCTGTTCTAGTTTAGTTCTAGCTCGGTTCTAGTTCAGTTATCAGTTCTAGTTCTGTTCTAGTTCTGTTCTGTTCTAGTTCTATTCTAGTTCGATTCTAGTTCTGTTCCAGTTTAGTTCTAGCTCGGTTCTAGTTCAGTTATCAGTTCTAGTTCTGTTCTAGTTCTGTTCTAGTTCTGTTCTAGTTCTGTTCTAGTTCTGTTCTACTTCTGTTCTAGTTCTGTTCTAGTTCTGTTCTAGTTCTATTCTAGTTCGATTCTAGTTCTGTTCTAGTTTAGTTCTAGCTCTGTTCTAGTTCCGTTCTAATTCAGTTCTAGTTCAGTTCTAGTTCTGTTCTAGTTCTGTTCTAGTTCTGTTCTAGTTCTGTTCTAGTTCTGTTCTAGTTCTGTTCTAGTTCTGTTCTAGTTCTGTTCTAGTTCTGTTCTAGTTCAAGTTCTGTTCTAATTCTGTTCTAGTTCTGTTCTAGTTCTGTTCTAGTTCTGTTCTAGTTCTGTTCTAGTTCTGTTCTAGTTCTGTTCTAGTTCTGTTCTATTTCTGTTCTAGTTCTGTTCTAGTTCTGTTCTAATTCTGTTCTAGTTCTGTTCTAGTTCTGTTCTATTTCAGTTCTAGTTCTGTTCTAGTTCTGTTCTAGTTCTATTCTAGTTCTGTTCTATTTCTGTTTAAGTTCTGTTCTAGTTCTGTTCTAGTTCTGTTCTAGTTCTGTTCTAGTTCTGTTCTAGTTCTGTTCTAGTTCTGTTCTAGTACTGTTCTAGTTCTGTTCTAGTTCTGTTCTATTTCAGTTCTAGTTCTGTTCTAATTCTGTTCTAGTTCTGTTCTAGTTCTGTTCTAGTTCTGTTTTAGTTCTGTTCTAGTTTTGTTCTTGTTCCAGTTCTGTTCTTGTTCTAGTTCTGTTCTAGTTCTGTTCTAGTTCTGTTCTAGTTCTGTTCTAGTTCTGTTCTAGTTCTGTTCTAGTTCTGTTCTAGTTCTGTTCTAGTTCTTTTCTAGTTCTGTTCTAGTTCTGTTCTAGTTCTGTTCTAGTTCTGTTCTAGTTCTGTTCTAGTTCTGTTCTAGTTCTGTTCTAGTTCTGTTCTAGTTCTGTTCTAGTTCTGTTCTAGTTCTGTTCTAGTTCTGTTCTAGTTCTAGTTCTGTTCTAGTTCTGTTCTAGTTCTGTTCTAGTTCTGTTCTAGTTCTGTTCTAGTTCTGTTCTAGTTCTGTTCTAGTTCTATTCTAGTTCTGTTCTAGTTTTGTTCTAGTTCTGTTCTAGTTCTGTTCTAGTTAAGTTCTCTTCTAGTTCTGTTCTAGTTTAATACTAGTTCTAATCTATTTCAATTCAAAATCTATTCTAGTTTAGTTCTAGTTAAGTTTTAGTTCACCCAATATTGGACCAAATGTATATTTTAACAAGTTTTAATTTTTACAAAATATTTATTTATCAATTCCTTATTTCCACATAAACCTATTAAACCATCTCTCCCTCTTGGGGATCTACATAATTACGCGGTCGTAGACCCAAATTTACACCACTCTTCGATCTCAGTATAATGCGCATTGTCGGTTGAACCTCTTCACCCAAAGGCAGCAATTCAAAATGTCTGATAACTTTGATTAATATGGTGCGCATTTCTAGTTGAGCAAACTTTTGTCCAATGCAATTGCGTGGTCCAGCACTAAAGGGAATATTGCTGAAAGCATTTACACGATCATTATTCATCTGATGACGTTCGGGAAGAAAACGTAAGGGATCCTCAAAGACCGCAGGATCACGCAAAATTTCCCACAATAAAATAATAATATTGGCATTAGCTGGTAGGGAGTAGTTGTCTGAAATATAGACAAATTAAAAAAAAGAATAGTTTGATTTGGCAACCACTTACCCACTTTCAAATCATTCTTTAAAATACGTCCTATGGCTAATATCGGGGGATATAATCTTAGTGACTCCTTGATGACACAATTTAAATAGTTCAATTCCTGCAGATCTTTATAGGTTATGTTATGTTTTAATTGATCTCCAAAATATGCTCTTAATTCGAGAAAAAGTTTCTGCTGAACCTCGGGGTGGCGCGAGAGGGCATAGAGACAAAATGAGGTGGCTGAAGTGGTGGTGTCATGGCCCTCAAACATAAAGGTATTGACTTCATCTCGTATTTGTTTGTCCGTTAAGGTTTCACCCTCTACCGTCGACTGCAGGAGAACATCTAATAGAGCCATACGTTTCTTTAGGCCTAAATCATGGGGATCAATGTTCAAGTCTTTGTTTTGATGTTGATCTTTCAAAAGAGATTTTTGTCTTTCGGCTATAATTTTCTCCGTAAAATCATGTAATATTTTGATATTTTTTTGTTGGGAATGATAGGTGTTGGGGGCCAATAGACGTAAGGTTGGTATATAGGCATATTGGGGTCTAATAAAACGTATGCCCATAATGTCAGTGACTCTGAAAAGAGAGAAATATCAAAATATCAAGATCATAGACAAATCTTTAAACTTACTCTATAATGGCTTTAACCATATCCGATTTTACATCCAATTGAGCGTTTATTGTCACACCCATGGCGGTTTCTTGAAAGTAACAAAAATACAGATTCCATCTCTCAATATTCTTCTTAAATCCCTTTTCATTACTCACCTGCTATTATATCCATGGTCAATAAACCCACATAATCATACATATTCACCACTCTCTGGCCGTCAGCCACTGTCTTAAGTTTCTCTATAAAAACATCTGTCTGACGATCGAAAACCTCTATAAATTGTTCCAAAATCTTAAAGTGAAATGTGGGCGTTATAATTTTACGCATTTTATGCCAAATTTTGCCACTACTCAATAATAAACCATTGCCCAACCATACGCTAAGCATTCTATATAAGAAATGTTTTTCCAAGTGTTCCTGGCTGCTTAGCACTGCCTCCACTATGCGATGATCGACGGTAACTACGGATAATAAACCCATAATGCGAGCGCCGAATGTTTTGCCAAAGCGACTCACAAATTGAGGCCATTTTATATAGAAGTCTGTTAAAATAAAAAGATATTATTTAAATTCTCATAACTACATACATACATATATATCGATATTTCAAAACTTACTATCTGGTGTTATGGTAGATAGGACCAATATACTACCCAGTAGGGGCAACTTTGATACTAATGGTATATTGATTAAATTTCGGGTGGCATGTTTGCGTGCTAAGACATCGGCTATACATATTAAAGCTAGCAATAATAATATTTCTAGGAACATTGCATTTGTTCAGTTATCTGGAACTGAAAAAGAGAATAGTAAAAGATTGGAATCCAAACTGTAGACTAAAGTCCCGTCTATACTGTAGTCGGGGCTATAGTATAGACTACAGTCGGGACTATAGTATAGACTATCTTCGGGACTATAGTATAGACTATAGTCGGGACTATAGTATAGACAATAGTCGGGACTATAGTATAGACAATAGTCGGGACTATAGTATAGGCAATAGTCGGGACTATATTATATACAATAGTCGGGACTATAGTATAGACAATAGTCGGGATTATAGTATATACTATAGACGGAACTATAGTATAGACTATAGTCGGGACTATAGTATAGAATATAGTCGGGACTATAGTATAGACTATAATCGGGACTATAGCACAGACTACAGTGGGGACTATAGTATAGACTATAGTCGGGACTATAGTATAAACTATAGTCGGGACTATAGTATAGACTATAGTCGGGACTATAGTATAGAATATAGTCGGGACTATAGTATAGACTATAATCGGGACTATTGTATAGACTATAGTGGGGACTATAGTATAGACTATAGTGGGGACTATAGTATAGAATATAGTCTGGACTATAGTATAGACCATAGTCAGGAATAAAGTCGGAACTATAGATATATATATAGACTATAGTCGGAACTATAGTATAGGCTATTGTCGGAACTATAGTATAGACTACAGTTGGAGCTATAGTATAGACTATAGTCGGGACTATAGTACAAACTATAGTTGGGACTATAGTATAGACTATAGTCTGGACTATAGTATAGACATGATTTTGTTAAATAATAAAACCAAACGTCATCACTAATTGTTTCTTTAATAGGTAAAGTCTTCAACGTGTTTTTATTAAAAATGTTGCTAGCAACATGTTTCCTTAAAAGCACAAATTGACAGTAAACTTTTGTATACCATTGATTAAAAGAAGTTTGTCAACTTTTTATCAACACATTTGTAAATGTTTGAAATTATTTGTAATGTAAATAATTTTTAATATACATTTTTATTTATTTTCATTATACCTTTTAAATTCTAACACATCTGGTTTTATCGATAAATATGTATATGCCAACTAATGAAAATAATGAACAATTTTACGTTAATAAATATTGTGTAAAACAAATATAGAATTAAACAAAATTATTTGGTATTTGTGGAAACCGATCAGATTTTTAAACACACAAAATTAATTAAAATAAAGTTGTTGATTTTTGTTAAATTTCAAATTAGAGATGAGTGGGTCAAGGTTGTTTAGAAAATGTTATTCTGTACATTCTATACCCTACACTATTATAGTTCGTTTGTTGAAAAGCATAGTGTAGCCTAAAGTCTGGACAATATTGCAGAACAAATTCTGGACTATAATCTGAACAATAGTGCAGACTATTGTCTAAATTATAGTGTGGACAATGGTTTAGACTATAGTCTGTACTATAATATAGAATATAGTCAGGGCAATAGTATAGAATACAGTATAGACTATAGTGTGGACTATAGTATAGATTTTACTCTGGACTATAGTATAGACTATAGTATTGATTATAGTATAGACTATAGTCTAGAATTAAGCATAGACTGTGGTCTGGACTAAAGTATAATATAGACTATATTCTGAACTATAGTATAGATTATAGTCTGGACTACAGTCTAGACTATAGTATAGACTATAGTCTGGACTGTAGTATAAACTATAGTCTGGACTATAGTATAGACTATAGTATAGACTATAGTATAGACCGAAGTCTGGACTATAGTATATACAATAGTATAGACTATAGTCTGTACTATAGTCTTTAACTTTAATTAATATCTGCTTTTACAACCAATTTTTAATAATTAAATCCATTTCCTTCGATTAGATTAATATAAAACTTTGAACCCAACTGTCTTTTGCAATTATCTGTAAAATTATTCTTTTAAAGACGATATCACGTTTCAAAAACTATTTTCTTTGTTTTAAAACTATTTTAAACAAAATGCATTCGATCGTTTTTTATACTACTCATGCATTGACATTTACACTAGTAGTTTGCTATTATTTAATTGATAATATTTTTTTTATAAAACAGAATACTTTGCTATAGAAAAATATTCAAATTATATAAAATTTACAATTTTGTTTTTATGAATTTGACTTTTAATTTCGTTTGTTTAGTAATATTTTCTTTAAAATTGTTTGTTGTAACTAACATGTTTCGATTTTTCTTTTATTTTTCCACAACAACAAATACTATATAATTGTTTTTTTATTATTATTTACCGTTAAAGTAATGTAACACACAACTTATTGTTGTAATAGTTGTAAGAACACTAAACAAAATAAAATTGCACATAACGGCAAAATGTAAAAACACAAACAGAGAGCAGAATAAAAACAAACCAGAAGGAGAGAGATAAACTAGTGCATTGTTGCTAGAAATGTATGGGTATTTTCTTAATGTAAAATGATTTGCATAACAAACAGAATTGCAGCGTCACAGCAACGGCTATTTCTTTTACAAATGCCGTAATATGGAATATACATTTTTTGTAAAATAAACCTGCCATTTCTAAGCATCTACAATGTTTAGTATAAAATTCTGCTTGCGAAACACCTTTCGATTTTGAAGGCACTCTATGAAAGGAAGAGTTAACATTTAAAGTAGGGCACCTTCGACATGTTCTGTTATTGAAAACTTACATTTTTATACCCTACACCACTTTAGTGGGAAGGGTATATTGGGTTTGTGCTGATGTTTGTAACGCACAATAATATTGGTCCTATACCCACCTTAAAGTATACCAATCGGCTCAGAATCATTTTCTGAGTCGATTTAGCTATGTCCGTCCGTCTGTCCGTCCGTCCATGTAAACCTTGTAATCAAACTACAGGTCGCAATTTTGAAGATAATTCAATGAAATTTGGTACATGATCTTCTATTGTCCCAGTGACGAAGCCTATTGAAAATGGTTAAGATCGGTCCATTATTTCACCTAGCCCCCATACAACTGAACCCCCCAATAGGGCTTGTAATCCTTGTAATCAAACTACAGGTCGCAATTTTGAAGATAATTCAATTAAATTTGGTACATGATATTTTATTGTCCCAGGGACGAAGCTTATTGAAAATGGTTAACATCGGTCCATTATTTCACCTAGCCCCCAAACAACTGAACCCCTAGAATAGGGCTTTTAAAACTTGTAATCAAACTACAGGTCGCAATTTTAGAGATAGATAGAGATAGGCGTAGATGAAGCCTGTTGAAAATGGTTTACATCGGTCCATTATTTCACCTAGCCCCCATACAACTGAACCCCTAGAATAGGGCTTTTAAAACTTGTAATCAAACTACAGGTCGCAATTTTGGAGATAATTCAATGAAATTTGACACATGCTCGTTTATGGTACCGTAGACAAAGTATATTGAAAATGGTTAACAGCGGTCCATTATTTCACCTAGCCTCCATACGACTGAACCCCCCGAATAGGGCTTTTAAACTTTGTAATCATACTACAGGTCGCAATTTTGGAGATAATTCAATGAAATTTGGCACATGATCTTTGATGGTACAGTAGGCGAAGCCTATTGAAAATGGTTACCATCGGTCCATTATTTCACCTAGGCCCCATACAACTGAACCCCCGAATAGGGATTTTAAAACTTGTAATCAAACTACAGATCGCAATTTTGGAGATAATTCAATGAAATTTGGCACAAATGGCACGACAAAAAGCTGCAATAACCAAGTTGTATACAAGACTTGATGACCCATAATAGGTTCTCATATGACCCTAGCCCCTATAAAAAGCCCCCATCAAAATTTCACTTAAATGTCCACAATTTTATTCCACAATAAACGGCTTAAGTATGTATATCTAAGGCAAGGTACAATTCAACTTAAATGCTTTATTATGGCGACTAAATCACATTATATTTTTGTCAAAGGTGTAGGGTATTATATGGTCGGCCTCGTCCGACTATAATTTCTTACTTGTTTATTTTCATTTTAAAATCCTAGACTATTTTAAGTTATTTGCATGAGCTAATATTAATTACTTGAATCTCGCCAGATACCTATATCTTGTAACAAATTTATAAATCAGGACTTTATTTTGGTCCAATTTGTCTAATATTTATTTGGATGTCAAACCACAATTAATTGATAGAATTCATACAAGTGTTCAATACTAGTTTTGATCAGTGTATTCGGTTACTAACACGCAATTGTTAGTTTTAGATTCCGTAATATTTTAAAATTTACATTTGACGTTGGTGTTTAACATTAAAAGGCAATTAAAACATTTACTAACTACTTATGTAAATAAAATCTGCTAAAGTTCACCCAAATAATATAGTTTCACGTTATAAAAATTATCATAAACTACTGAACCAGCCTGATGGATAAAGATGGAAAATATAGTTTCGACTATTCACTAAACTATAGACAATTTATAGACTGGATCTCTCGTCTTGTCTAGAATTTAGCCTTTACTAAACCAGACTACAGTTTGACTATGGGCTAGGCTATAGTCTGAGCTATAAACTAAACTATAGACTGGACTAGAGACTAAACTATAGTCTGGACTATAGACTAAACTATAGTCTGGACTACAGACTAAACTATAGTCTGGACTACAGACTAATCTATAGTCTGGACTACAGACTAAACTATATTCTGTACTATAGACTAAAGTAGACGAGACTTAAGACTAGACTGTAGACTACACTATAGACTATACTAATGATTACAATATAGACTGGACTATAAACTAGACTATAGACTAGAATATATACCATACTATAAGGTAGACTATAGACCATACTATAAACTAGACTATAGACTAGAATATATACCATACTATAAGGTAGACTATAGACCAGATTATAGACTATATTATAGACTAGACTATAGTTTAGACTATAGACTAGACTATAGACTAGACTATAGGCTAGACTATAGACTAGACTATAGACTAGACTAGACTATGGTATAATACGGTCTGTATTAAAGTCTAGATTATACTAGAATATACCTAGTTATACCTGGAATATAACTAGACTAGATAGACTAGACTATAGACTAGACTATAGACTAGACTATAGACTAGACTATAGACTAGACTATAGACTAGACTATAGACTAGACTATAGACTAGACTATAGACTAGACTATAGACTAGATAGACTAGACTATAGACTAGACTATAGACTAGACTATAGACTAGACTATAGACTAGACTATAGACTAGACTATAGACTAGACTATAGACTAGACTATAGACTAGACTATAGACTAGACTATAGACTAGACTATAGACTAGACTATAGACTAGACTATAGACTAGACTATAGACTAGACTATAGACTAGACTATAGACTAGACTATAGACTAGACTATAGACTAGACTATAGACTAGACTATAGACTAGACTATAGACTAGACTATAGACTAGACTATAGACTAGACTATAGACTAGACTATAGACTAGACTATGACTAGACTAGACTAGACTAGACTAGACTATAGACTAGACTATAGACTAGACTATAGACTAGACTATAGACTAGAACTATAGACTAGACTATAGACTAGACTATAGACTAGACTTAGACTAGACTATAGACTAGACTATAGACTAGACTATAGACTAGACTATAGACTAGACTATAGACGAGACTATAGACTAGACTATAGACTAGACTATAGACTAGACTATAGACTAGACTATAGACTAGACTATAGACTAGACTATAGACTAGACTATAGACTAGACTATAGACTAGACTATAGACTAGACTATAGACTAGACTATAGACTAGACTATAGACTAGACTATAGACTAGACTATAGACTAGACTATAGACTAGACTATAGACTAGACTATAGACTAGACTATAGACTAGACTATAGACTAGACTAGACTATGGTATAATACGGTCTGTATTAAAGTCTAGATTATACTAGAATATACCTAGTTATACCTGGGATATAACTAGATTATATTTATTATAGATAAAATCATTCTAGATATGATTTTGGTTAGAATTTTTACAATTATATTAATTTTCATTAGTTTTTACAAAAATATAATTTATTTTGAAGAAAATTAAACACAAATACAATTTAATAAATAATAAAAGTTAACGTCTAAGTCTCATTAATATTGCCTGGGTTTCAATCCCATATGATTGCCATTAGCCGAGCGTAAAATTAAATTCATCATGGGCCTTACTTCCGGTCCCAGTGGTAACAATTCAAAATGTCTTAAAATTTTACTAATTGTGCTTTTCATTTCCAAAATGGCAAATTTTTGACCAATACAATTACGCGGTCCGGCCGAGAACGGTATATAGGCATAAGGATTAATCTTATTAATACTATCGTCGAGAAAACGTTCCGGTTTAAAAGCATCAGGATCGGGGAAATATAAAGGATCACGTAGTGTTACATAAATGCCCACGGTGTAATTAGTGCCAGCGGGTATCTTTTTACCACGTATATCGACATCTTCAGTAAAATAACGTCCGATTATGGGTACTGGAGGATATAAACGTAAAGATTCTTTTATAACACATTCCAAATATTTCAATTCCCCCAGATCACGCAATGTCACGGGGCGTTCTTTATCGTTGCCTAATACGTCCACAATTTCTTCGAATATCTTCTGTTGTACTTCCGGATGTCGGGAGATTAAATATAAAGCAAAAGAAATGCCACTAGTGGTGGTATCGTGGCCCTCAAACATGAAAGTGTCAACTTCCTCACGTATGTCCTCATTACTTAGGGGCACACCATCTATGTTGGACTGTAGTAAAACATCTAGCAAAGCCATGCGTTTCTTTTGACCAAATTCATTCTCCTCCGGTATGGGAGAGTTTTTCTGGAGGCTCTTTTCTAAAGTTTGTCGTCTTTCCATAATAATATTTTCGGTAAAATCATGCATTATCTTAATACTGGCATTCAAACGTTTATAATCCTGGGCTGCAGTTAAACGGAAAATCCAATTAATGCGATGCCATACATTAATAAAACGACGGGCGATTATATTGGTGACTCTAATAAGATTAATAAATTATTAAAAAATTAAAAATAAAATCACTTAATAAAACTTACGCGGTCACTGCCTGAACATAAGGAAAATCGGGATTGTTTTGGGCATTAATCTTAACACCCATGGCCGTTTCTGGAATTCGGAAAAAATCTTTAAGTTTTACTAAATTTAAATTTTTACAGTTACCTACCCGCTATTATATCCAAAGCCGTTAGACATATTACCGGAAATATATTTATGGCCGTTTTACCATCTGCTTTCTCATACAACTTCTTGACCATAACCGCACTTTGTTGATCGAATATTTCCACAAATTGTTCTAAAATCTTAAAGTGAAAAGTGGGCGTTATAATCTTACGTCGGGAATGCCATTTTTTGCCCGTACTCATTAGTAGACCAGTGCCCAACCATTGATGTAATAGTTCATAGAGATTATTTTTCGTTATATGTTGAGGAGAGCTTAAGATCACTTCAACATCATCGGGATCGGATGAGAAGACAGCTAGCTGTTGTAGAATCCAAACGCGATAAAGTTTACCGAATTTTCGTTTGTTGTTGGTAATGAATTCCATGATTTCTGCAAGGAAATAAAACAAATATTACTGATTTGGAAGTAGTAAACTGAAAAGTCGGCTTTGAACCAATTCTGAAAACTTTACAAAAACAGATCGAGAATCTGTCCTTCGCAGGATTTAGACGATTTTCAAGGTAAAAGATCGGTTCTAGACAAAAATCTGTCGATCGCCGGCTCCAGAAGATTTTCTACATAAAAATCTATCTATCGCCGGCGCCAGAAGATTTTTTATATATAAATGTATTTATCGCCGGCTCTAGAAGATTTTCTATATAAAAAATCTATCTATCGCCGGCTCTACATGATTTTCAATATAAAAATCTATCTACCGCCCGATGCAGAAGTATCTATCGACAAAAATCTTGTCTACAGCTGGCTCTGGATGTTTATCTAAACAAAAATCTGTCTACTATATAGTCTTGACTTTTAACCAGACTGTAATCTTGACTATAGACTATACTAAAGTCTTAACTGTAGACCAGGTTATAGTATTCACTATGCCTCAGATTATAGCCTTGGCTATAGACTAGACTATAATCTTGGCTATAGACTAGACTATAATCTTAGCTATAGACTAGACTATAATCTTGACTATAGTCTTGACTATAAACTAGACTATAGTCTTGACTATAGACTAGACTATAGTCTTGACTATAGACTAGACTATAGTCTTAGCTATAGACTAGACTATAGTCTTGATTATAGACTAGACTATAGGCTTGACTATAGACTAGACTATAGTCTTGACTATAGACTAGACAATAGTCTTGACTATAGACTAGACTATAGTCTTGACTATAGACTAGACTATAGTCTTGACTATAGACTAGACTATAATCTTGACTATAGACTAGAATATAGTCTTGACTATAGACTAGACTATAGTCTTCATTATAGACTAGACTATAGATTAGACTATAGTCTTGACTATATAGACTAGACTATAGTCTTGACTGTAGACTAGACTATAGTCTTGACTATAGAATAGACTATAAAATAGACTATAGTCTTGACTGTAGAATAGAATAAAGTCTTGTCTATAGAATAGACTATAGTATTGACTATAGAATATACTATAGTCTTGAATATAGAATATACTATAGTCTCGACTATAGAATAGACTAAAGTTTTGGCTATAAAATAGACTATAGTTTTTACTATAGAATAGACTATAGTCCTGACTATAGAATAGACTATAGTCTTGACTATAGAATAGACTATAGTCTTGACTATAGAATAGACTATAGTCTTGACTATAGAATAGACTATAGTCTTGACTATAGAATAGACTATAGTCTTGACTATAGAATAGACTATAGTCTTGACTATAGACTAGATTATAGTCGTAACTATAGTCTTGACTATAGACTAATCTATAGCCTTGATTATTGACTAACCTATAGTCTTGACTATAGAATAGACTATAGTCTTAACTATAGAATAGACTATAGTCTTGACTATAGAATGGACCATAGTCTTGACTATGGAATAGACTATTGTAGAAAAATATAAATAGCTCATTTCTAAAATATATTAATTAAGCTCCAACAATAATTAGAGCCTAGCAGGTAAATGTTAATAATTGCAAACATTAATGATTATAATTATCTAGATTATTTTTTTTTAATTATTTATAATCCATTTGAAAAACTGATTAAAAATGACAATTCAGTTTTAATATTTTTTCAAACAAAAGCTGAAAATTTTTTCAAATAACTGAAACACGCAAAGTTTAACAAGTTCAAGGTCAGAAAAATGCTCTTTTTGACAACTATATTTTCAGCTAAAACTTTATTTACCTTCCGGACTTTGACCGCGATACATTAAAACATTACCCAAAATCGGTAAAGTTTTCGGGCCCGGCATATAGCTTAACATATCATTGCGTCTTTTTTTCGACAAATAATCCCATAAGAGTAACAGAGTTATTAAAACTATTAAAATTTCTATAAACATTTTGCAGAATAAACTCAAATAATTTTAAAATACAACCACTTTTCTCGGAGTTTATAAAAATACTGCTAAATATTTCTATTATTTGTACTATTCCCAACAAAAGAATTATGGATTTGTTATCAAAAATATACTAAATGATAAGACGTTGATTCTGGGGGTATTATGGGGGGTATATTTGGAAATAAACATATAAACAAAAACACTCTCTTAGTCCGCTCTAATTACTACTTAAGAGAGTTAAAATATACTTATTTATTATGTTTCCCTGTAAATAACCCAATTTTCTACTTAAACGGGTATTTATCAGATACTTCCCTCAGCTCCAAACTATAGCTGAAGTAATTACTTGTATGGAACTCTTAATGCCACAATAAAAGCTCTCTACTTATTGGGAAAAAACTCGTCTCTTTTCCAACATCTTTACTTTGAGAAGAGTATATCATTCTAGCATCATGACCTTCATTAAAATGAAATTAACAGTGAAACCTGATTAAAGAGTACCAACACGATCACTAACATTTATTTTTTATATAAAGCTTTTCCGAAACCGTTTTCCTTTGATAATATGATATAAAGCAAAATAGTTAAATATTTGTTCTTTAAATCCGTAAGTAACTACTGTTCATAGGTTCCACTGTTGATGCCGTGAGAGAGTTACAGAGAGAGATGGACCAAATATTAACATAAACAATTTTATTTATGAACTTCTGCTCTATATCTATTAGAACATTGGTAAACAGGTTGTATAATTTTAGATACAGATACATATAAAGTTTGCATTTGCAGTTTAAGATGTTTAAGGGAAAATGGGGAAGACTTAATACTTCGTTAATCCATTCTAGAGTATAAGGGAATTCGATGGACATATTCTTCTTTACGAAAATTTTAAGAACTTTGCCACAGACAGATTTACATGTAGTCTATAGTCTGGACTACAGAACAGTCTATAGTCTGGACTATATAACAGTCTGCAGTCTGGACCATAGAACAGTATATACTCTAAACTATAGAACAGTATATATTCTGGACTATAGAATAGTCTATATTTTGGACTATAGAATAGTCTATATTTTGGACTATAGAATAGTCTATATTTTGGACTATAGAATAGTCTATATTTTGGACTATAGAATAGTCTATATTTTGGACTATAGAATAGTCTATAGTCTGGACTATAGAATAGTCTATAGTCTGGACTATAGAATAGTCTATAGACTGAACTATAGAATAGTCTATAGTCTGGACTATAGAATAGTCTATAGTCTGGACTATAGAATAGTTTATAGTCTGGACTATAGAATAATCTATAGTCTGGACTATAGAATAGTCTATAGTCTGGACTATAGAATAGTCTATAATCTGGACTATAGAGTAGTCTATAGTCTGGACTATAGAATAGTCTGGACTATAGAATAGTCCATAGTCTGGACTATAGAATAGTCCATAGTCTGGACTATAGAATAGTCTATAGTGGACTATAGAATAGTCTATAGTCTGGACTATAGAATAGTCTATAGTCTGGACTATAGAATAGTCTATAGTCTGGACTATGGAATAGTCTATAGTCTGGACTATAGAATAGTCTATAGTCTGGACTATATAATACTCTATAGTCTGGACTATAGAATAGTCTATAGTCTTGACTACAGAATAATCTACAGTCTGGACTATAGAATGGTCTATAGTCTGGACTATAGAATCGTCTATAGTCTCGACTATAGAATCGTCTATAGTCTGGACTATAGAATAGTCTATAGTCTGGACTATATAACAGTCTGCAGTCTGGACCATAGAACAATACTTACTCTAAACTATAACAGTATATATTCTGGACTATAGAATAGTCTATATTTTGGACTATAGAATAGTCTATATTTTGGACTATAGAATAGTCTATATTTTGGACTATAGACTAGTCTATAGTCTGGACTATGGAATAGTCTATAGTCTGGACTATGGAATAGTCTATAGTCTGGACTATAGAATAGTCTATAGTCTTGACTACAGAATAGTCTATAGTCTGGACTTTAGAATAGTCTATAGTCTGGTCTATAGAATAGTCTCTAGTCTGGACTATAGAATAGTCTATAGTCTGGACTATAGAATAGTCTATAGTCTGGACTATAGAATACTCTATAGTCTGGAATATAGAATAGTCTATTTTCTGGACTATAGAATAGTCTATAGTCTGGACTATAGACTACTCTATAGTCTGGACTATAGAATAGTCTATAGTCTTGACTAAAGAATAATCTACAGTCTGGACTATAGAATGGTCTATAGTCTCGACTATAGAATCGTCTATAGTCTGGACTATAGAATAGTCTATAATCTGAACTATAGAAAAGTCTTTAATGTGGACTATAGAATAGTCTATAGCATGGACTATAGAACAGTCTATAGTCTGGACTATAGAACTGTCTATAGTCTGAACTATAGAACAGTATATAGTCTGAACTACAGAAGAGTCTATAGTCTGGACTAAAAACATTCTATAGTCCCAACTATATAGTCTATAGTTAGTTGATCTTTTTTGATGTTCTCTATAAGAAATCTTCTGCAGTTGGGTATGGACTGATTTCTTTACATAATATATTCTATAACCTGAGCTAGGAGATTCTGAAATAAATTAAATAACAAATTTATGTTAGAAATTTTAATTTCTAGTCTATATTTTGGACTATAGAATAGTCTATATTTTGGACTATAGAATATTCTATAGTCTGGACTATGGAATAGTCTATAGTCTGAACTATAGAATAGTCTTTAGTAGAATAATCTACAGTCTGGACTATAGAATGGTCTATAGTCTCGACTATAGAATCGTCTATAGTCTCGACTATAGAATCGTCTATAGTCTGGACTATAGAATAGTCTATAGTCTGGACTATATAACAGTCTGCAGTCTGGACCATAGAACAATACTTACTCTAAACTATAACAGTATATATTCTGGACTATAGAATAGTCTATATTTTGGACTATAGACTAGTCTATAGTCTGGACTATGGAATAGTCTATAGTCTGGACTATGGAATAGTCTATAGTCTTGACTGCAGAATAGTCTATAGTCTGGACTATAGATTAGTCTATAGTCTGGACTTTAGAATAGTCTATAGTCTGGACTATAGAATAGTCTATAGTCTGGACTATAGAATAGTCTATAGTCTGGACTATAGAATAGTCTATAGTCTGGACTTTAGAATAGTCTATAGTCTGGACTATAGAATAGTATACTCTATAGTCTGGACTATAGAATAGTCTATTTTCTGGACTATAGAATAGTCTATAGTCTGGACTATAGAATACTCTATAGTCTGGACTATAGAATAGTCTATAGTCTTGACTATAGAATAATCTGCAGTCTGGACTATAGAATGGTCTATAGTCTCGACTATAGAATCGTCAATAGTCTGGACTATAGAATAGTCTATAATCTGAACTATAGAAAAGTCTTTAATCTGGACTATAGAATAGTCTATAGCATGGACTATAGAACAGTCTACAGTCTGGACTATAGAACTGTCTATAGTCTGGATAGTCTATAGTCTGAACTATAGAACAGTCTATAGTCTGAACTACAGAAGAGTCTATAGTCTGGACTATATCTTTACATAATATATCCAATAACCTGAGCTAGGAGATTCTGAAATAAATTAAATAACAAATTTATGTTAGAAATTTTAATTTGCATAACAATTTTAATCTACAATTAGTTTTCTATTCAACGACTCATATATAATACAAAAAAATACTATTCATATACTCGCTTCTTCAAGCCCATTTGTACACCAGTTTTAGAACGTAAGATCAAACTTAGAAGCGGTACTACCTCCGGTCCAACAGGCAACAATTCATAATGACGTAAAATTTTACTTATAACACTTTTCATTTCCAACATGGCATATTTTTGACCAATACAATTGCGCGGTCCAGCACTAAAGGGTGTATAAGCAAATGGATAAATATCCTCTGCATTTTCGGAAGAAAAACGTTCAGGTTTAAAATCGTTGGGATCTTGGAAATAGTCTGGGTCACGTAAGACCACAAATAGGGGAACATTCAAATGACAATCACCGGGTATAACAAAGCCATCTAGAGGAAGAAGAAGATCAATTTTAATATATAATCGTTTAATATTATTTTTTTTTACTTACTGAGATCAGTATCCTCTTTAAAATATCTGCCTATAATGGGTACTGGTGGATATAATCTCATGGATTCCTTTAAAACACAATCCATATAGCGCAGATTCTGCAGTTGTCTATACGAAGCCGCCTGATCTTTATCATCTCCTATAACTTCTCTTATTTCAGCAAATAGTTTCTTTTGTACCTCCGGGTGTCGAGAAATAACATATAAAGCAAACGAGGTGCCAGAAGTGGTGGTATCATGTCCCTCGAACATAAATGTTTCCACTTCTTCACGTATATCCTCATTGCTTAAAGGTTTACCATCTACCGTGGCCTGTAGTAGAATATCAAGAAGAGCCATATGCTTTTTACCTCCTATGGCTAGATCTTCTTCGGTTTCTGGCGATTTTTGGGAGTCTGAATTTTTGAGTATGTTTTCTAAAGTGTCTCTCCGTTTTTCAATAACATCTTTGGTAAAATTTTGCATAAGATTTATATGTTTTATCATGTTTTGATAGACATGAGGAGCAAAGAGCTTAAACATGCCATCTGTTCGCCAGTGGGGTTTACGTAGACGAGTTGAGATGATTTCGGTGACGCTGAAAGGAAGACAGAACATTGCTTATTAGTGATTTAAAACAAAATTGAAAGATCCGCAGACCGAAATGTCTACCTACGGCTATAGAACATCTTCTATACTGAAATATATTTATCACCAGCTCCCTGACAGATCTCCTCTCTATCTATCTATCTATCTATCTATCTATCTATCTATCTATCTATCTATCTATCTATCTATCTATCTATCTATCTATCTATCTATCTATCTATCTATCTATCTATCTATCTATTCTATCTATCTATCTATCTATCTATCTATCTATCTATCTATCTATCTATCTATCTATCTATCTATCTATCTATCTATCTATCTATCTATCTATCTATCTATCTATCTATCTATCTATCTATCTATCTATCTATCTATCTATCTATCTATCTATCTATCTATCTATCTATCTATCTATCTATCTATCTATCTATCTATCTATCTATCTATCTATCTATCTATCTATCTATCTATCTATCTATCTATCTATCTATCTATCTATCTATCTATCTATCTATCTATTATCTATTCTATCTATCTATCTATCTATCTATCTATCTATCTATCTATCTATCTATCTATCTATCTATCTATCTATCTATCTATCTATCTATCTATCTAT